TTCTAAGCTTTTATGTTTACACTTTAATGTGTCTCATATTTTATAGACAAAGATGTAAATGTTAGGCCTCTGTTTTATCTATATCACTGTTTAAGTTTAGTGTAGTGTAACTAGCAGATAATTTGGCGGTGGAAAAACTTACCCTCGTTAAGTATAATCACTTTTTGATATACAGGTTACCAACGACCCGCCCCGGCTTAGCACGGGTGCAATATGCATGTATTATACATATGTATAAAACTTCCTTAAGAATCACTCTATTTATGCGTTGCGTAGTTTTGAAGATCTAAGTATACATAGGGACAGACAGACGGCGGAAACGACTTTGTTTTATACAATGTAGTGATAAATTATGAAATATAAGTGTTTGTAATTCCATGCTCGGGACTCACACTTCATGATATTGCTGCAAATAGTTAGTACAATAATACTCCTTACTACTCAGTTAAGATGCAGTCTAATTTTGTAATGTATGAGAAGTAATATAGTTAAGTACAACCATTTCAATTTAAACAAAGACGTACTCAAGTGGCACAAGTTTGAATGAATAACATTGTAGGCTGAATGTTTGTGGCCTAATAACCATGACATATAAAATAATTTGCATATTATTCATAAAATTGTTAAGAATGCCAATCAGCGATTTTATTAACCGTTTATACGTGAATATAAAAATTAAATTATTCACATACATATGTTAGCAAAAATATGATTATTGTGAACAATTGTTATCTTAGTATTTGTTATTAACGAAGATCTTTAAAATTATTTTTTAATTGAATTTAACCTATAAAGTGAAGATCGTAATTATCTTGAAAATGTTAAATAAATACTTATTGGTGTTGTAATGAAAGGATTTAATTATTTATTAAAGTCGTTGCCCGAAGACTTGGAAAGCAGTACCACCATATTGGGAAAATATTACTACATGCATTTTCTGCTCACCTGGTACCGTCGAACGACGCATTCCATCTGTTTCTCTCTTTTCGCTTTAATTTAAAACGTGAACCGTTCAGAATCGATAGTTTTTAATTGTTATTTGATGACCTTAGGAAAGTTGTTTGTTCAGTCGATTAATAAAAGCTTGTTTTTATAGTTTGATGTTACGTGTCCAAGAATTTTTATAGTCAATAGCGGTTTAAATTGTAATGAAGCTCGATGCAGACGTTACACTACTGATTTTCTGGTAAATGTATTAGATATGTTTTTTTTAAGGGTGGAATATCATCGAATGTCTGCTCCCGCCTGGGTCAGGTGGGAGGGAGTGTTAGACTCTTACTGACTAAAAACCACCCCGTTCCTACTTCTGCACTTCGAGCCGGAGCCCCGGTTACCCGTTAGGTTCTCCGCGGCATTAGATACGTTTACAAGTCATATACAATTATTTAAGTGTTCTGTCATTATTATAATGGTGACGTTAATCAATTGTTTAGGAGAAGTTCTGGCGTCGAAATCATATAATCATTTCCAGGTACAGTCATAAAATCCCATCAATACAGTTTACTTTCGCTTGTAACTTGTTTTATTATAATTCCATTACAGAATACTGTTACTTCAGCTTGTTATTAGATATTTCTCAGTTCAGTTACCTTTGTTGTTGACACAAAAAAAGAAAAACTAAATGACGAAACTTAGCATTCTAACTCACAGTTCCTACGCTGTCATTGGCGCCTTATTTGTCACGAATGCAAAATTGCATTCACGTAATATTTTTTAAACTAGATCGAGGTCGGTCTCTATTTTTCGGTCTGAATTAGGTTTCATACAAGTCTATGTATTGATTTGAATATTTCAATGTTAGTGAATGTACTTGAGAAGTATATACATATAATGTGTTAATTGAACCGTAGAATGCGTGAGTTGTAACGATTGCAGAATAGCACTTTTTGTGTCTTGCAACGTGCTATGATAAGTAAATAAATAGAACAATCAATTTATTATAGACTAACAAACAAACATCTTACTCGTTTTTTATATTTTACTAGCAACCCGCCCCGGCTTCGCACGGGTGCAATATGCATGTATTATACATATAAACCTTACTTAAGAATCACTCTTTCTATTAAGAAATACCGTATCAAAATCCGTTGCGTAATTTTAAAGATCTAAGCTTACATAGGGACAGACAGACGGCGGATAGCGACTTTGTAGAGACTTATATTATGTAGTGATAACTAGTAAAAAAAATTAAGCCGTTTTTCGAATTCCAAACCTTTTCGGCATTCAATCGTAAAGTTTCTGATTAACATTGATTATAATGCAGTTAATTAATTTGTAAGTAGGTTAGGCTGTCTCATTCGCTGTCAATGCTAAATTCTTAGGCTAACATTCTCATAATTATTTAATTAATTAATTAATACGTAATATAACATAACTTATTACATCGGTTTACGTTCCGTGGTTATATGCATGATACGATAGCGGTTAGTAGCGACAAGTTGGTAGCCGCGGGTTCTAGTCCTGCTTTTCATTTGTTTTTTGAAACTTTTAAGGGTTACTCTCCATGTTGCGTCATTTGACGATTGCATGCTTCCTTCACCTAGGCGGTCTACACATGGCAAATCTTGCTGAGAAACAATGAAAACTGTCGACGTAGCAGCAACGGTAAATCTGCCAATCGCTTTTGACGAATTCGTTAAATGACGTGACATGTACAATATCACTTAGATATCATTATCAGAGATGATTTTTGTCGAAGCATGAAAGAAGCACTTGTATGCACTCCGATATCTCCACTCGATCGCCTTTCTTCTTACATAAGACCACTTAACCTGTAACTGCACGCACCCTGCAAATTGTGACCGGTTCCATCTTTAGCAGTAATTCGGAAATATTTGTATGTGATAAAGGCAGCGAGAGTTGGAATTATGTAAAAGCGTTGGAACGGGTTCGGTTCTCGTTGTAAGTGGGTCGGCGAGCTTTCTGCGCATGCACAGGTCTCTGCCCCCGCTCGCAACTGCCGGCTGAATAGTTTACGATCCTGTGCATACCTTGCTGTTGCAGGCTAGGTGTTAACTTAATGTTCTTATTTAGAACTTCAATAGCTGTTTAATGCGCTTTACTTGATTAGCGTTCCACCGAACAGAATTGCTTTTTGAGATTGCGTTTTATAAGGTGGTTCGATTCTATGTGGATCGATTGTAATTTACAGTTTTAATACATGCAATAGAAATAAAGGGAATTGTTTTGCAATGTCTTATAAGTCCAAGCAAAAATTGTGAACTTATAAGGCACAAACAGGACATTAAGCGCAATTTTTTCTCAACACAAAATATCGCACCGTAAAAGTCTCTCACACATGCCACACGGAAGCTTATTAATTCAGCGTATTATGCAAAAACATTCGCGATAATTACACACACCCAGTTCGGATAAATTTCCTTGCCACAAGACTTGTGTTATTCCATAATCGTGAGTGGTCGCCACTCCCATACTTTCCCTGCGATCCCACGATGCATGGTCACAACTGGTCAGTGATCACTGGCGTCTCGCCTCAGGGATCACATGTGCGTGAGACTGAGACCACACTGAGAAAATGACGTCTGACCTCATTAGTCCTGAGAATCTGACGCATCGCCGTTCCAGGGTAAAATTTTCCTGCTAAGTTCTTATTGGTTGTTAAATTGCTATTATAATGTTATTTTGATTTTAAGGTTGCAAGATGTTTTAACTTAAATATTGATTTGTTTGCCTACTTTGGGCGTGTAAATAGTGTTTGATTGATATTAAATTGTAATTTGTAAATATTGTTTTGATATTAAAGGTTAAATTAATATTTTGTTAATGTAAGTCTCTATAGTATTTTTATAAAAGGTAGAATGAGATTTTTCTTTAAAACGTCCCTTTTTATAGTGGTTTTGCGTGACTAACCCAATACCTACACGCGAATAATTTCTCATGGTGATCTGTCCACAACCTTGGCCATTGTAGTCAAGGACGGTAATCACATCACACAGCGGAAACATTGCCGGAACAGCCCCATCACGCTGACAGACGCTCAGCCGCCATATTGCCCGCCATAATTGCAAAACGCGGGAAAATAGTGCTGTCAACGAACCATGTTTCGTAATCGATTCATAGTTATTGTAATCTGTTAATTGTTGTTTTGTAATTATTCGTAGTTCCAATAAAATGTGTTGTTGTACGATTGCTTGAATTTGCCGTGAAGATATGAAAGGTTAGGATTTTTTGCAATTTATTTCGTCAGTTTTTAGTTGTATGTAGGTAGATATTTGGTAAGTAACGTAAACAAAATGCGTAAAGGATATTTCTAATGTCCGTTGGGTTAATGTTTGCAAAATTGCAGTTAATTTGCGCGGATCGATGAAGCTATTGATCAAAGTCTTAGTCGATAAAAAGTTGATGAGAAAAAATTGTATAAGTATAATCGTAGCCGGATGCGTGAACCGGTATATAAGACATCTTCAGACATCATCTGTTAGCATAAAATTACATAATGAATAAACAGTACCCACTCAGAAGATTTCAGACGGAACTTTGATGTAAAGAATGTTCACTGGTCGAAAGGTTGTACTGTGAAGTTAACTAAGGATAATTTCATTTTTATTATGACTCATTTTTATTGCTCGCTTGCCGATTGTAGGTAATAGCTTCACCGTTAGGATGTAATTCCCCAGCACTGAGCAATTATCATTACATCGATTAGATTTTTTGTACATAATTGCTATATTATGATTTATATCACGTGCTAAACATATAAAAATAAAAATATAGTGCTGGTGTTATTGTATAATAGGTACATTAAACCGTAATATATTTTTAACAGGAACCTGTTTGTTCGGTAAAACCATTTCCAACTATAAAAATAAAAAGACAAATTTGTATAATCTAGTTTTGGATGCAGTTCATAGTTTAAAAAAGATCACGCTGTAAAACTACACACACATACACATGAATAAAGCTTAACATAAATTAGCAATAGATAACACAAAAAAAAATAACGAGAGAGCTCAAAATAAACTGGTCTTTAAACAACTTACCAAGACAAAACAGGCCAGTGAAGAAGCGCCGTCCAATGTATCCAGGACACTGAGCACTGCACTATAGTCGGTAATCACGGTTCCTACACACGATCTTATTGACAAACACACTCTCCTAACATTTCACAGTCTGCCACTACTCCTTTTTGTTCTGTAACAAGAAGAAAAGGACTTTATTAATTTTGGCGTAGAGTATAAAATTCCGGAAGATCTTGATTAACTTTTGAATGAAACAGGTTTATTCCGATACTAGTCAAATACGTCTGCTTGAGATGATAGCTATGATTGCAAGTACAGAAACTTGACATGAAACCATTCATAAATTACACAACGAAGTAATAATTGCCTTCCTGACTATTGCTAACCTTAATAATAAATAATATTAACGAGGAGGACATAAAAATGTAGTTATGACCCTTCCATTATCCGCCTTGACAATGCTGTGGCAATGTCTAAAGAAAAAACGTTCGTATTTTTATAATAACTATCGTAAGGCGTACTGGATCAACCAAAAATGACGAGTTACTCCCTTAAATACACCGTATTAGTAGTATATTTCCGTGAATAACTCGTTTTTTTAGTTAAAAACGTTTGTGTTATACTATCGATATGTTTTTTTACTTTTGTGATGTTAATACAAGCAATCGCAATGTTACAATAAGCAAACAGACTGGCCTAATAGTCTAATTAACAATCTAATTAATTACCTTATTGCAGAATTGCGAAAATTCTCATTTAGTGAACGCGATTGCAAATTGTGTACTGGTAGGAATTTAGTAGACAAGTAGGTAAATTGAAAAATAATATGTATTAAGAAATCCAGACTGGTTACTGATCTATAAATGTGAGCGTAATTGGTATATTCTCTTTAGCGACAAAATAACAACAACAAAACAACAAAATAACAACATAACATAACAACATAACAGCATAACAACAAAATAACCAACAAAATACTGCTGCTGATGTTTCCCAAAGTTTCCCGGATGTGGTGGAAAAATCATTGAGAAATGAAGTCATGACGAAGGTCAGTTGCATGACAAGAGATTATTATTAGTAGGTACAGAAGCAGTTCACTTTTACGACCTATGTGTATCGAGTTGCAAGTATGCAAAACAAGCTGCGGCTGCGCAAAATATTTACTGGTATAATATTCATGACAAAGCGCATTTATTTCTTTTTTATTATGGCAGTGTTGTAGTAAAAATGGGTGATTTATATTTTAATTCATTCTGTTCTCACATGTGCAATGTGCATCTGTGGTATTGCGTGCATTTTTTTACTTTAGCATTCATTTAATCTGTTCGAAATGTTTTTATCGGACAATCTAAGCCGTCAGAGGATATTAAAAAACTTTTTTATTTAAATCAGCATATGGAACTATTCTTTTGGTCAAGGTTACAATTTTAAACGGCTAGAATTAGTTCTGCTAGTCTCTATTACGCAGGTAGAATAAAAATCTGTTTCAAACATACTAGCAACACATTAACATGAGTGTTCCACAAGGCTCCATTCTTGGCCCTTTCTAATTATTGAGCTATAAATATTTCGGTGACCTTGTCTGTAATTCGTATTTATTAGCGCTTAATGAAACTTTAAATATAGACTTCGTATGTTTAACTTGCCACTCAACACGTGGAAAATCCATCATGGCGTTAATTGTTTAGAACAACAATGTTGGACATTATACACCATCGTGACATAAATCACAAATCTTTGGATTATGCTTGTCTTAACTCGTTTTATTCACTCTGGTTTGGCCTCCGGGTCCGGGTAAAATATGGCGGTTTGTTGGAAACTTCATGACATGAATATATTTATGTTTTATGGACAGGTTTGCCTTTTGACAAGTTTTATGTGGCGTGGGCGATGGTCAGACAAATTGTTACTATTATTTCGACGACAATTTTCATTTATTAAGCCGACCAGCTCCGTATAATTTGTACGACGAGTTTAATTTTTATATGTACTTTACATATGCCGGGCGTCATCTAAAATAAGTAATATCAAAGGTGGATAAATAAATGAAATGATCTATCAAGTTACCAAACATCTTAAAGTAAAAGTAAACTGATTTAGGTTTTGACAAAAATCCTTGAAAGAGAGACCTAAACAACGACACATAGAAATTAAATGAACTCGACTAGTAATAATACTGCTTAACTCCGCAAATAACTCTGCTTTGCTATGAATTAAAAGTTGGTCGGTAAATAATAAAACAAACATTTCTTCAATATTTTATGCAAATACACAAAAAATCTACTAATATTTCCAGATTCGAACGACAATACTGGTTTTCAACTTGTTCATTACAAAAAAGGCCAGATCACAAAATTAGCAACTAAACCAGAATGGAACGATTGAATATTGCTTTTTATATTATGTATTCTATTTAATTTTAAACATCATTGATGATTTAAATCTAAATAAGTACTTAATGTCTAAAACTAAATTAAATTCTGATAAAAAATGAAAGTGAAAAATCAAACCGCCATCTTGGTTTATCGGAAACCACAGATTAAAGATAAATAACATATTAAATTACTATTACACAGATTATTCATAGCAACAACATGCATCATTAAAAACTAATTTCGAAATGTAAAGAAAGATAAAGCACGCGAGAATTGCACTGAGGTTTTTTTAAACTTATTTCTTAATCCGCGGCCATATTACGTGTGACATGTAGTATTACGTAAAGTGGTTAATACTGGCAGGTGGCAGCACTGGGTCAACATTATCGTGACGAGGACATCCAGTAGCCATTTGACATTTTAAATTTGGAATCCGACCTAAGGATTGTGGTCTAGTCGAGTGCTGGTTAATGATATAAGGCTGGTAAGAGACTAGCTTATGATGTGCGTTTTGTGGACTTTTGTGGTCAATTAAAATTGTAGAAAACTGCAATTAATTTTTGGTCATAAATCTGGGGATTTTCGGAGAACAAAGGCGTAATTTTAAGTAGTTACGTAGCTCACGAGAGAATGCAGACATACAAAACTGTACCTTGAACTGTGTTGATATCTATATAACCCCATGTTACAAAAACAGCAACCGCTAGGTAAATCATAGAAACTTATCAATTTCTCGTTCCCATTACAAAGAATACCATGTAAAAATAAATAATTCCACCAATTTGCCAATCAATTACAATGTTACCTTCGCAACAGCAATTACGACGCATCAGCGAATTTATAAGCTCATGCATCTAGTTCAAACGCAACTGATTGCTTCGCATCATGTTTGCGACACGGAATTCGTGGTTAGTCGTGCGTTTCTGACCGTTTTGTGTTGGTGCACCTTTATAATCGATTACAACGTATCATCGATTCGAACGCATCGATTTTTGTATGAATGGGTCATCACATCGCTAGTCTAAGATTAAGAATATGGTTTTGTATTGGTTTAATAATCAATTATTGCAAAATAAATGTTGCAAGCTGCAAAATATAAACAATGGCTAGTTTGCAGCTCAACTGTGATGTGTTACATATTGACCAGTAAACTTACTATTATTAAAATTATTTTTGTAATTATTATAACATTTCTTCAATCACAATTACTGAAATAAGTTTCAAAACTATCAGCGGTATCGATTTCGTTTCAATCACGATTCGATTATCGTTATCTAATAATCGAGTCGAATCGAATAGCAGCCGTTCAAAATCCATGCGCCTAGTTGACCCGAATTATTTGTACCTGGTAATTACACGTAATTACTAGCCATGGCATATCAATCTACACTGTCAAATTTCAAAAGAGTTTCGTCTTTATTACAAGACAAATAAAGTTGAAAATCTATTAAGGAAATTTGATTTGTAGGTTAGGTTGACCTGCAGTCCAGTCCGTACTGTCTTCATGTACAGGAATGCACATTAACACGGATTGTTAGTATGTCTAGTATAATTATGGTAATAACTTGGACTATTTGGAAAATCTCTGAGTTTACACAGGTACGTATAATGTACTAAATATATTGTTATTATTGTCCAGCTATAAAGTAGGTAATGCAGTCAATAATTGCGTCGCAATTTATTCAGAAGCATCTTCACGTGTTTTATTTTACATAGTTATACAAAGTATAAAAACTATAAATAAGTAGGAACCTACATATGTACGTACAAACCTCATTTGTGTATTCAACCAGTAATACAGGTTTTAAAGTCTAAACGTTAGCGTTTACATAGCCAAAAGTGGAGCTACTTACATCTTGTCCAATACTGACATATCCAATATTTGCCAACTTTACACAAGGGAAAAAACTTCACAACTACAAGTGCTAATCAAACTACATAAAACGAAATTAAACAAACAAATTCCTAATTCAAATTTCGAGGTCGATATCAAAAATTTAACCTTAAAAGATTGCCAGTTGAAAAAAGGTCAAGAAACAAATACTCATGTATTAAGAAACACACATAAGGGTCTCCTTTTCCAGTCAGAAGATCCTAAAATAATATTTTGTACCAACAAGTACACAACTGAAACCTCCTTTGTAAATAAAAAAAGTTAAAAAAAACACTAATCGTTGCAGTACATTGACCGCACATCGAGACACTAAATCTTTTTGCTAAAACACAAAGCAAGCACTAGTTACCGTAAAAGGAAGACTAACAAAGCCAGTTATTTATTTGACTGCTAACTTACAAGCAATATATGTTTTTATTTAACTGAAGAAGTATTTGATATTGTTTGAAATACATACATATATTATATACAAAGTGTTGTTTTAAAGCCGCGTCATTTTTTAAGAGGTAACTCGGCTATCGATTCTGAGTCCGAATCAATAAAAAAATTGTCGGTAAATATTTTTCATTTTTTTGTAAATAACGGCAATCTGTAAGTGCGAACTACACGCCGCCGTCTTGTAACTAGCTTTATAACGCGGCTTAACATACACAAACTCAAACACGTAATTGATATTATTTCTAATTCCATAAAACTCCAATAAGAAACATTGCTGTCGCTTATTCTGAAATACTGTCGAATTTAAATGATTTATTATAGCCGTATTTTTAACTATTGGCCCGAAACTTTCTCTTACATTGAACCTTTACTAAATGACTTCTGTGACATGCTCCCCAGAAATGACACGGTTTCGAAACTACACCTTGTATAAATCTTATCTTTTCTTCAGGCAGAAACAAAAGA